GTTTGTAAGGTGTAGGCAGGGATTACATTTAGATTTTATATGCACGTGTAAATGCTTTAAAACTTGCTTTCTTTAGGAATCTTGTTTAATCTTAAAGTGCATTACTATATTTTTCAATACCAATTACTTGTTAAAGTTTGTACAATCAGTGGGATCAGTTGCAATGCATATATGTGAATGATAAAAGTAAATTGCACATTTGTCGAAGGAAATGTAAGGTGCTTCATGAAATGTTTTGTAAAAGATATGTTCATTAAATTTCAATATTTTCCTAATGTTCTTGTGCTTCTTTATACCAAAACAAAGGAAAGACATATTGTTTTGGTTATTTATAGCAAAGTATTGTATCATTTTAATGGTCCGGCCCACTTGACATCTACCGAGGCCGTATGTGGCCCACCATGTGAAATGAGTTTGACACCCCTGCTCTAATCACTTCATTGGAAACTCGCTGAGGCCACCTGACGGGTTCTGAGAGCCCTGCTATCGAAGCCATCGATTCTTGCGGCGACAGTGTCGTTCAGGGGCCCTGTTTCTGAGCCATAAAGCAGGATGGAGAGTACGGCAGAGTTGTAAATCCGGAGCTTCGTCTTGCGTGAGATGGTCTGATGCCGCCAGAGAGGTTTCCGGAGAAACTGTAGAGCGGATGCCGCCAGGGCTCGTCTGCGAATACTCTCTGGTTTTAGGTGCCCGTTATCTGTCACCATGGACCCCAGACACACAAAGTTTTTGACAGGCTCTACAATGTCACAAACAATACGAATGGGGGTGGTTTTGGTCCATCACCGATGTACATGAACTTGGTTTTAGTCCAGCTCACTTGGAGGCCGAGCTGTGCTGCCTCCTCATTGTAAATGCCCAGAGCGTCTCTCAGCTGGCTGTGGGTTGTACTGAGCAGGATGCTGTCATCAGCGTACTCCTGATCAGTCAGATGTTTGTTGCCAAAGGACATTCCGAGGACGCGCTGGCAGACCCTGGAATCTGGAACAATATAATCTTAATATCAGCATCACAACTGAAGTTCTTGTTTGAATCACTGAAGTCATTTTTTGTTTGCAAATATTTTCATCAAATGGGAACATCACTCCAAAGTGGACAGCGGCATGGACAAATCTTCACACATGCTCAGCAACTGCAGGAGCCAAGGATCGTCTATATAATCCCCCAAAAAACAAAATAAACGGATTAATAGAAAAAGTAAGACATTAGAACAAAATCTAAAACATATGTAAAATACAAGACTATAAATGGGATGAATAAATCCGTCCATTCGACGCGCTATCCTCATAAGGGTCACGGGGGGTGCTGGATCCTATTCCAGCTGTCTTCCAGCAGTAGGCAGGGGACACCTTGAACCGGTTGCCAGCCAATCACAGGGCACACATAGACGAAAACCATCCGTGCTCACACTCACACTGAAGGACAATTTTGAGTGTTCAATCAGCCTGCCATGCATGTTTTTTGAATGTGGGAGGAAACCGGAGTACCCGTAGAAAACCCACGCAGGCCCAGGGAGAACGTACAAACTCCCCAGAGGGAGGCCTGAGCTGGAATTCAACCCGGTACCTCTGCACTGTGAGGTCGACGTGCGAACCACTGGACCACCGGGCCGGGGGGATGAGTAAACATGAGAGTTATATGAACACATTTCAGTGGAACTGCTGATCACTGATAAACATCAATGACTGATGAATTGGTCTCAATAATTTTCTGTCTGTGTGTCAAGACAGAGTGACGGCCTACCAAAGATGCAGCTTTGAAGGCAAAACCTACTAAAAAAGGTCCACACTCACGTCTGGAAAAGAACTTTGCAGACTTTATTTACCTACCTCGCCCGATTTCCTCGTTTATAAAAAAACCTTATTGAGAATACACTTTGCATGTGTGCTGAAGTCATTTTTGTTTTTAGCTGACAGAGAGGCAGAAAGTGAGACACGAAGAACCCCCTGCTTTGAAAGCAAAAATGTGCAAATTGTCACGCTCTCGAAAGGGGGGTTGCAATCATGCATTGATGCCACAAGATAGCAGCAAAATACTTAAAACTGAGAGGCCCATAAATCATCAACACCATGCATGTATACAATCATGAACCCATGTTTCAAAAACGGTTATATCCAGAACGTTAATTATTCAACACAAACCAGCTACCTTCACACGAGGCTCATCAACTGTTTAATTAAGAGATCATGCGAGCACAATCTTAGGGGAAATCACACATGGACAAATAAACGTCAGCAGTATCCCGTTGCACAGACAGTCTGACATTATTAATGTTCCTACTCTGTCCATTTTAATCTTGGTGACTGTTCCTGGTCTGTCCATTTTTTTCCTTTGTTCTTATTCCTGGACTCCCCATTTGGATCTGTCTTTGTGTTCTATCCATTCCTTTGACTATTTGTTAGAGTTCCATCTATTTGAATCTTTGTTCTTGTTCCTGGATTTCCATTTGGATTTTTACGCCTTTTCCTGTTCCTGCGCCATCCGATTGAATATTTGTTTGTGTTCCACCCATTTGGACATTACAGTACGTCCTATTCATAATTTAAACTTTGTTCTGTGTCAGTCCATTTAGGTCTTTGCTCCTGTTCGTGGACTATCCATTTAAATTTTTGTTTGTGTTTTGGATCTTTTTTTGTCTTTTTCTCCTTTTTGTATCGCTGATTATATTCCATCTGTTTGTAGCTTTGATCTTGTTACGGGACCATCTATTTGTGTCTTTATTCCTTATTCTTCAGGTCTGTTTGGATCTTTCAACCAGTTTCCGGACCATCGATTCCATGGTTATTTCTTTTCCTAGATCCATTTTGAATATTTGTTCCTAACCCGTCCATTTTAATCTTTGTTCACGGTCTTGTTCCTGAACTGTTCATTAGGTCTTTGTTCCTGTTCTTGCATACTGTAGTAGATGAAGGAAGGATGTTTACTTGTGTTGCTGTCATGAAGTGACGCTTATCCCCAACAAAATAACAACTACAGTCGCTTCATCAAATGCGTCCTGCCTGCCTAGAAGCTGACCGTCTTAGCGTCCCGCTTGACGTAATGCTAATCACGGCTCCTGTGGGACAAAATCTATTTTG